AAGCAAGGGAAAAGACAAATACCGTGCTATTGAAGGCCATAACCTTCTACCTTTTAAAAAAGGGTCTAATCTTAAAAAATAACAGGGTAAAAGCCAGCTAAATGAGGGTGGTAAAGCTGAAAACAAGGTGTTCTTTATTTAACTGTTAGAGTGCTGGTCTTTCCCAACACATGGACTAAATGAATGTTATTGTGAAGTTTGAGTATCTGTTATATCCAGAGGGTTAAAAAGGCAGAACTAACAAAGAGGGAAGACTGAAGGATGTTTCAGTTCCAACATCAAGGTATCAGCTACTGTGTCTTATGTAAAGATAAATTAGGAAGGCAGGACAGCTTGAAGTTTCTTTCATGGCAGAGACATTGATGGGACTTCTTATTTCATGTTTTGATTAACATCAATAACCAGATACAAAAGTTCTTGTAGTAAAATTCCTAGGAGGGTGAATCCTTTGGAGTGATTGAGTCATTCTGCTTGATATGTAGTAATTAAGTTGTTTTGGGAGGGTTTTCTACTCAGCATGGTAGTAGAGACCCTCCACAATTAAGCAAATGAATTCTGAAGCCAGTATGGAGTTAGAGTATTCAGTATTTTAAAGGATTGGGCTCCTGATTTGCCTAGGACATATATTTTGTGTAGTAAATGTTGATTTGAGTATCCAGTCTGAAACATTTGAAGGGCTAGGGAGTAAATATAAAATTGAAAATTTACCCTGTGACTGTCAGCGGTCATGTCTTTATATTGATCTGTGTCTATATCTACATAATATATTTATCGTTTTTAATGTATGTATGGTGGAAATAGGTATAAAAACGTATTTTTAATGGGGTCTATATTTCTTTTGCTAGAGAAGATAAACTGTAAAAACTGATTTTCAAATGCAGATGTGTCTGAACATTTATCAGTTACCCTCCCAGAATTAGCATCTGAGCAAATCCATGCCCATGCTTAAACATTAGACTCTTTTCTTTGTTATAAAAGCAGAGAGAGCTTAGTGTTACTTGGAGCAAACTTCTCATGACAAAAAAAAAACCCCAAACTATTTCAATGTTAGAATCATGGGCTGGACTCATGGTGTCTCCCGCCTGAGATGTGAAACAAGACCATCTAAATTCCTTTCCACTCCAAGTGGAGCAATGTCATATACAAAGGATAGTGATTGTGAACGATGCACAAGCAGGAAGAGAAATAACGTTCTTGGGGATCTACAACTGCTGTTACGGGTAGTGGAATTTGCATATTAAAGTCAAATCTGCCAAGGAATGTCTCAAATTTCATTTTATCTTTTTTAATTGTCTGCTTTTCAGTGTCAGCAGATGCACTTTGCTTTGCTTTGTAAGTAGATGACCTTTACCTCTGTACCCTATGATATGTACTTCATAATAACTGGTTGGACTACTTTGACAAATTATTAAATTGTCAGGATGCTGTTTGCAGCACAGTTCATTTTTAGAAAGCAGATAGTCAGCTGTTTGGCATTATGTTGGGTAGAAGAGTACCAGACAAGAAAGGCGGATTGCTTTGTAAGCTATAAAATGTCAGTCAGTAAATACTCAGAGGTCTGGTTTAAGTGAAGAAAGAGTAAATACTCTGGCCATTTCTGTCCATGCATTGGATAATTTACCATAAGCAGGAAACAAACTGTGGCAGCAAGGAAGCCACAATAATACAGGTCTGCAGTTTGCTTGCCATGATGTATAATGCTGGGATATATCCCATAGTATTGAGCAGATGAGACTCATGATGTGTAGTGATGTGCTGTTTGCTTAATAAACAGATTGTTTGGCTTACATTTCTTATTTATTATTATTTGGATGTGCAAGTCGTCTTTATCGTGAAAAGGGAAACATTCTCCTCGTGCTGTAACAAACAAGTTTGGTTTGTGTAGAGAGAGAATGGATCATAGTCCTCTGTGCATGTAATCTGCGGTTGTGCGTTCTGCAAGTGTCTGTGTAGAAAACTTTTCCATTCCCTGAGGTGGCAAGCAAAGAGGATCTGAGGGTATGAAATGCCTGAGAACTTGTGTCTCTGCCTGGAAGGCTGCAGGACTTGCTTTCCAAGGTGTTAATTCTGTAGCTAATTGTGAATAGGCAACAGCTGGCATCTAGCAGTTGTGTTATTAAAAGTGCAGCCTAATAAAAGTCCTATGGCATTTGTTTGTATTAAACTTCTCCAAATTTCTAGCTTCTCTGTCCATGAGCTGCAGCAGCAGCTCCTGTTTCGTATCTCACTGTTGCCATCGCTTACCTCCCGATGCTGCTGTTTCCTGCCACTGCCTCCTTGCTTGATCTCCCTTGATTGTGCCTCCTGCCTTCACCTCCACCCGCACCCCAGCTCCTTAGACAATAGTGGTTTGTGGTGGTATTTTGAAAACCCGTCTTCAGTTGAAAACTTGAGGCTTACATTATTCTCTGCCTCGTTTGAGCTCATCCAGTCCATTGCTGTTCCCAACAGAAGTGATAATTTTTTATTGTTGCTATATATTTTTCCTAGGGATGCACGATTAAACAGTAAGTCTTCGTGTGGCATGCTGTTCTGTGTTACTCTCGGATATCTGTTCATCTCGGCTGGGCCTGTAAATGTTTTTATGCTGAAAACAATAAATATCTATAGTGATCACTTGTAACCACGGCAGGAGCGTTTCAGGTTTTTGTGATCTTGCCTGGCTGAGGGGAGAGTTGGTGACGCAGGTGCAAAAACCAGAACAAATGCCACAGGTAGGCACATCTTCACACTCAGGCAAAAAAAAAATCAGGAAAAGAAAAACACAGGGAACTTTTTCCTCATTCTTATTTTGTGATTTAGAACCTAATCCAACAGTGCTGCAACAGGGAAGGGAAGGGTGGCTCTTCAGTTAAAAAGTCTCAGCATTTTTTCTTCCATAAAACTCCTCCAGATGTTTACAGAGAAGGTGCTATGTTGGAAAAAAAGCAGTGATGCTGTGCATAGTGCTTCAGTAAAAGTGTGTTTCCTTTGAAACTTTTCACTGTGTGAGAATAGATATCTTCTATTTCAGTGTTTTGAAGGTGGTATTTGGCAGTGGGAGGAAATTGAATTTAATTACTTCACCATATAGATATTACCAAAGCTGCAATCATTGGCCTTTGTTCTGAGGATTGGGAATTCCTGTACATAGTTTAAAGACTGGAATTACATGTAATTAGTGTTAATGCTAATTGCATGATAGGCTCCATTAAATCCAAGCACTAGTCTATTATCTGCAGCAGATACACTCTATTACAGAGTTTTGAGCTCTTTTTGGAGAAGTTTAATCTTCTGGTAGTGAAAGATACTGAGATGTATTCACTAATCCAAGAGAATTATATCCACTTGTTCCTAAAACCACGAAGTGTCTTGCGTCGTCCTCTTGTCTCGCACGTTTCAGTGTGTCTTTTTTTCTTAATCATGCAGTGGACGAGCATAAGCAGTTAAGAATACTCACAAAATAATTAGTAGTGAACTACAAGAAGATTGCAATGTACTATGCAGCAGTGTGGGTGGGCACCCTTGAAGTCAAGGCTTATTTTATTTTATTTTAGCTATATTATCAAGTTGCAGCACATACACAGGATGCTGGAATCGCATTCTAAGCACTACTGTATTGTAGCAAAGAACTAGAAAGATTTACTAGAGACACAGGATGCTGGAATCGCGTTCTAAGCACTACTTTGTAGCAAAGAACTAGAAAGATTTACTAGAGAAAAATCAAAAAAGGGAAAATACAAACTGTATTGCAGAGAATGCAAGAAAGTGATTTTTTTTGTGACTGCTGTTGAAATATAAGTACTGTGAATGCTGACTGCCAAAATATGGGATTTATTGGAAATAAAGCCCTAAAATATTTTTCCCCTACCAAAAAGAGAAGGAGGTGGTAGGAGGAACCTCTCCAGAAAGAGTGCATTTCAGTTATCTGTCTAGCTTCTGTTAAAGTTTTAAATGACTTTCTGGTGTGATAAACATGTCAATATGAAGACAGAAAGGAAGCCTAAGAAATAAATTAGGCTGCTTAGTTAGAGAGGTGTATTCAGTGGATAGCAGCTCTGAAAGACACAGCAAATTTCTGGGTTCAGTAACTCAGTTTTCAGGTGTCCGTGCTGCAAGAAGTAACAAATAAATCACAGTATATATATATCAATAAAACACAGATAGTTGCATTGCAGATAAATTTGTAAAGCACGTTTTGGTTTGGGTGGTGGTTTGGTTTTTTTTGGAAGCTGCAATGTTGAGTGTCCTTTGGCTTCAGTACTGGACCTATTGCACTTGCTGCTATGAAACGGGGAGTTCTGGGTGCTGCAGTGATTCGGATTCACTTTCCCTCTTTATTACAGGCAATATCAGACTGTTTTCTACTGCCTTGGTCTGAGAATTTAATTAAGCATGTGCTCAGAGTTGAACACAGACTGAAGCTGGATTTTTTTATATTTTTTTTCCCCCTCCTCTTCTCACCAGTTCTTTCTATGGTCACTTACTTTCTTTACTGTTTCTTACTCGTGATGAAAAAGCATGATGTTCACAAATCCTGAACAGTAACAAAATAGCTGCAGAGTGTTGTTCCAAACTTACTGAATCTCATGTTTTATAAATAAACCTAAATAATGATTCAGTCCCAAGCAGAAAGGATTCCAAGTTCAGTTCATGTAATTGACATCAGGCAGTTTTAACCTTTCACATAATCCATGTCAGTTTTTGCAGCCTTGTACAATAAGTCCAGATGAAAATACTGTGTATTTTGCTGCTTTCTTTATTGGACAGTATTGAAAGAAGCATCCAAGTGACAGTTCTTTTTCTGTTGAGCCTTTCCTTAGGAGTTTGTGAACTAGAAAAAAAGTAATTTTCAAGCCTGGATCAGCACAGCACTTAGTTTTTAATAACATCCTCAGCTTCTGAGTGGAGCTAATGAGTTTGGGCTGAGGGCTGCTCCTGTGTTTCACATCCACCTACCTGCATGGCACTGCCTTATGAGCGTGGAAGTGAGAAGCTCAGTATCTGGAGCGCACTTTGTGCAAAAGTTTTTGGCAAACCATCTGAGATAGTGACTGCTTTAAACTTTAGGAGGAAATACTTGTCTTCTGGTGCCATCTCGTGGCTTTAGGAGGGAGAGGCAGTCTGTGCAATTGCTGTTAAAAATCCTTTATTTTGTTAAAAGGTTATTTTAAACAATTAGTGTCTTATTATTTGATGTACTTAGGCAACTATGGGTGTGGAGGAAGCCATACATGAAAAAGTATGTAGAGCTGGATCTTGGAAAGGCAATATTAGCAACATAGGTACTCAATTTAGGTTTTAGTATGGTAAAAGTCCTTGCAGGTTGCAGTTTTATACTTCCTAATGGCTATTGTGCACTCATGAGAGCTTGGGTTCAGGTTGTGCATGTGCCTGTACATGGATGTACTCATGAACAGTTGGCACAACTGGTACCTTAGAGTCTGATCTTCGTAGATGCTTCAGCTTTTTATTTATATATCCCTCCAGGTGCTGCACTTGGCATTGCTCAAAGTGATTCCATGTTATAATACTATTTAATAACTTCCTGAAACCATACGGGAACCGGTAAAAGAGCTGACTTGTCATGGAAACTGTCTACATGTAGTTGGGTTTTTCTTTGCAGCTTCAAAGCGTTTCATAACATCTCTTATGCATTTAGATATTCTAAACCACCTTCCTTATTTGCAGAGCCTGGGATTGCCTATCACAGAAGTTTTACAGTCAACAGCACTTGTTGTGCAGCGATGGGCACGTGTGAGGCTAACAGAGAGCATCTCTGGAGCCCTGTTGAAGGCCGTGTGGTTCCACATAGGGCCAAGCGAAAGGCCAAAGACTTGGGGATCTTTGATAATTTTCTTGGACTACACCAGGCATATGAGACACTTTTCCTGCCTCCTGTTTTTTGGAGTGAAGGAAGAGCCTGTCACCAGATCAGTGGATAGATAGGTGTGAGGCAGCCTGGTTTCTTTACCAGTTTTCTGAAGTGTCACTGGTGCTGTAGGCTTAGGTTCTCAACTGTCTTCACTTCTTTGCCATTAAAATGGAAATAATTATATTTGCTGATCTCTGGAGAAACTTTATTGAAGGCCTGCTTATTAGCATTAATAAAATAACTTGAATTCTGTAGTATACAAGATTATCAACGTTTATGTACTATATGAGAATATTTGATTGTATTTGCTTTTGTTTTGTGGTGGGTGTGTATTTTTCATTGCCCTTGAATCCAAGCAGAGTAAGAGCTAAAGAAGCAAAAAAAAAAATACGTCCCAGGTTTACATACAGCACTGTGTCACAGAAATCTGTCTTGTTGCACTTCACAGTTGCTGTTATATGAGAGAGGCTGGATGAATAGATGGAAGCCTTCAGTTTTACACGAAGGGGAAGGAAATATAAGAAATGTAAAATGGAGAGGACACTTAATTGCTTGGGCCAATAATATGGTAAGTATGTCACCTGTGTTAAATGAACAGAAATACCACTGTGTTACACTGATGTTTGAAATGTTTCAATGTTAATTGCCGAAATATTCCATTGCAAAATCATGCATTTGAAGAATCAAGTATAAAAGGCATTGAAGGATAGTGTTTTAGATCCCATTACTTTGTAGACATTTCTTCTGTGTTTCCTGCTGGTTAGTCAGTTTTCTCCGTACATTTGCCACTTCTGAAGAAATTAAGGAAAGTAGCTCTGCATACCACTCTTGGGGATGGTCACTATTGTACACTGTTGTATAGCAGAGTTTTGACCAGTGCAATTTCTTGAAGCAAACTGTCTAAGGAAGGAATGTCAATGTAACTCTTATTTATATAAAAAAATAGAACATCAGCCCCCCCCAAAACTCCAAACCTGTCTGGATTTTTAAATTTGTGCTGAAGTGACGTTATCATATGCAGTTCTAATGTTGCAGATTATAGAAAATGGTAGTAATAATTTATTATTTTGGTAAGCCACTAGAAAAGGCTAGCTTAGGAGAAAATAGGCCCTTTTTGCTCTAAGTATAATTCATATTTTAAAGGGAACCATTGCTTTCATGCTGAGTGTTGCATTTCACCTATCGCTGTATATCTAATTGATGGGTCAAGGTCTGTATTTTAAAGCTCAGCAGTGAGGGATATGTTTTTAAGTGTGTATTGTGTCTAAATTCCGAAGTCTTACTTTAAAATGTGGTGAAAGTACTTCACAAACACTGGCTTTTCTCCTTCTGTTGTTTTTTCCTCCCGAAGGAAAGCATTTATTAAAATATCTTAAATCCATGATTCTTTTATTCCTTTCAACATCAGTTTGATATGAAATTGTTAGAGGTGGAATTTTGTCTATTTGCTCCCCTTTAATAATAACTGCATTAGAATTGAAACGTCGGTGAGTGCCTGATTGTCATAACATTAGCTCTTTGGAAGGTTTTGTTCTTTCCAGAGCCATACAATTAAAATATATATTCTAGGTGAATCCGCTGGGAATAGATAGGAGAGTTGAGGAGAGCTATCCCTAGAGATGATGTGCCACATCAGAACACAGAATACTAATAAAATGTTGAGAGCCATCTGTCAGAGACAAAAAGTCATGGTCAGGGCCTATCTTTGAATGAAAAATGAAATGACACTTGCCCTCCAAAAGATTAATATATTTGGTTATTGGCCTTTCCCTTCCCCCTTTACCTTTTTAAAAATTTCTTCATCCTCTAGCAGGGTTTTGTTCCATTTTTTTTCTTGCAAAGTCAGAGAAAATCTTATAGCCTTGCTTCTTACTGTCCGTGCGTGACTACCTAGTTTTGATTTTCTTTTGACCTTTTTTTTTGCCACACTATATGTGAGCTTGTCAGACTTTGAATATTCTGAGATGGATTCCAGGTGATTTAGGCAAGGCCTGATTCTGCTTGTCAGATGCTCAGGTATGTCCTCTTCTCATTCCTCCATGGCCAAGAGTGTAAGTTTGACAAACTGGGACACCCGAGGACCAAATGTGTAGAGGCACTAGACTGTCTGACTCCCATTTGAGCAGGTTTTAGGCTCCTTCATGATAGGAAGTTGACTCTGCAAGTCCTTTCAGTTCATGATGCAAATGGCATACTTTTAGCTATAGAGGATCCTACGCTATTGATTTGAAAGGCACTTTAAATGTAAGCTAGTCCATCCCATATAGGATTTCTTGCCTTGTAGAAAAACAGGTGTGATATGGGTCACTTCTATTTGAAAAACATCCTTGAAGACAAAGTGGTAAGATTAATAAAAGACAATTTTATTAAAATGCTGTTCAAGCAAGATGGCAAATGTAATCAGATGAGCTTAGAAAACCCATTTTTTATATTGTTTACATTACCCAGAGGTCTGGGTTCTGTACAGTACAGATCCTGTGTGCAATTTTTTTTTCGGAAACCTTCATGGTTGTTAACCTGAGAGATGCCTATAGGAGTGTGTTCCACGCTCACAGTTCTTCAGTGACAAAGATCATTAGAAAAGAAACCCATCCCACCCTCATACCACTTCCTGCTCCTTGTGATTTAAAATAACCCACCACCACACACACACAAAAAACCCAAAACCGCACCAAAAAAAACCCAAAACCTGGCTTAGATAATGACTCTCATGTTTAGACTTTCACTTACAAACAGTAGAATCTGTACAGCTGGGGACACAGAAGCTCACAGCGAGGTGGGCGACAGAAACAGGCAGGGCAACCTTTTAAATCAGTTTTGTCACTAGAAAAATCCTAACATGGAATGGCATCCTGGACACTGACCTTTCAAGGTCTTTTCCATCCCCTTTTCTGTGATCATGGGAGTTGGTTTTTCTGCTCACTGAGCTTAAAGGAAATATTTACTAAAATACTTTGCTTTATTTTGGCGACTTTTGTTTTTAAATCACTAAGAAGAAGTCATTACTTAATGTGAAATTAATCTCCATTTTGCTACTGGAAAGGTTATAGCACACCTTTTCTAAATGGCATGGAAAAAAATCTGATTAATAGGTGTTTTTTTTCCATTTCTCTCTTTCTCTAATGACTTTAATCTTACTTTCTTTAAACTTTTTGTCCTGTTAGTTTAGGACGTTTCCGGAGGAGGCAATGGACAATCACAGCAAAAAAACTCAAACATCATTTAAATATGCTTGCTTTTCTATTTTGATGTAAGAGTAGAAAGGCATTTCTGGAGAAGTACAGATTGGCTTTGTTTATCTTCATGACTTGTTGCTTTGTATCTTCCCTTTTTCCAAGGTGGAAATTTCTGCTTCTCTCCAGGGGCTGGTTGTGGAAGAGTTGGGATTTGTGCATTTCTGCAGTAGCTGCACCAGCCCAACAAGCTGAACTTGTTCATGACTGGAGTTGCTAATCTGTCACTCATTGACTTATCATATCTTTTCATTCGGCATGTGAATTTAAAACATCTGACTTAATCTAATCCCTTCGTTCCTTCTGTCACCTCGTGGACGGTCTTTGATGGCTCTTTGTATCGACAGCTTTTTCTGTTGGCACGCTCAGCCCTACCCTGAAACTTAGGCCATAAACTGCTGTGACTGCCTTAATGTACAAAATAATATGGGATGTGGGGAGTAGGGTTTTGTCATACTGAATAAAGTTCTCTTGTGTTTAAACTTTCAGGGCGTGAAGATACTTGACATGATCTCCAAGCAAAGAATTACCAACGTGCCTCGAGATGACATAAGCCTTCGCCCAGATATGTATCCCTGTAGCCTTTGCTGGAAGGATAATTTAACGCTGATTATTGGCTGGGGAAATTCAGTAAAGGTGCAATTACCTGTCTTTGTAATAAATGCTTGCTGTTATCACAGACAAACAGAGGATTATTTCTGAAAAGCAAAGACAATCGAAAGAAATAGGATTTGGTTTGACTACAGTGTGCAGAACTCCTGCTGCCATAGAAATGTCATTGGACTGACCCTCATGAGGAGGAGGAGGAGTGATAGACACCCAGTGGTCAGACAGATCTCTGCGTGTGAGCACGCAGCGAATGTAATCCTCGGGGACACTTCTCTCCTCTGTGCCTTGGAGAGATTTCCTCTTTGGAAAGCTTTTAGTGGGCTGTTGAATTCATTTCTTTTCATTAGCATGAAGGAAGAACAACTTACAATGAGGTATTCTTGGAGGGGATTAATTTTGGGGCTCAGGAGGTTGTGACAGCTAAAACAGCCACATGATTTTGGTCAACCATGGAGGGGAGAAGAAAGAGTGGTGTGGGGGGGGCAGGCTGCTTGGGGTTTTGTTCTGCTTTCAGCAGGGAACTGGCATTTCCAACTCGTGCGCTGCAGACTGGCTACGATTTGCTCAGACCAGCGTCTGACATGAGTGTGTTACAAGCCTCTTAGCTGTTTTGTAATAACAGACTGCTACATCACTGCACAGTGGGAAATTAAAAAGTGCTCAGGAGAAGTAGATGGAGAGGGAGGGTAAAGTGAGGTAGGTGAAGCGTAAAAAGCTTTTGGAGCATTAAACTTGGAGTTTTGCAAATGAGGACGTTTATCATAAGTTTGGCACCTGTCTTCCCCCTTCTGTTGTGCGTGCTTCACCAAATTTGGTTATTTGCATTACTTCATACGTACCTACTCTCCTCCAAATACCAGGAGTTGCAATAGCATATTCTTACTCAAATTGTAAGATAATGAGATGCAAAGCATGAGAAGATACCAAAACCAAACTGACATGAATGCTGCTATGAAGAAATCACAGTGGGCAGATGTTTTCTGATTTCTCTTTGGTGGTGCATCTTCCTTCTCCTCTCCCAGCATATTTGTAAGGCTGGGGACTATGGTTACAACTGCCCTGTCTGGTTTTCTTTTCCAGTGACGGATCGTCACTGTTTTACAGCCTGTGTTTTTCAAAATACAGAAATGCATGTCCGAGAACGCCGCACTAAGAAAAGAGGAGTTCCTGGGAAAAGTTAATATCATTTTAGAATTACAGTTTGTTCGTCATAATGATCGAAATCTCTGTCTCCCAGATTTGCTCAGTAAAAGAACGGCATGCCAGTGAAATGCGTGACCTTCCAAACCGCTACGTGGAAATAGGTATGATTGTACAAATGCGCTCTTCTCCAAAATTATATAAGCTTTAAAGGTCTGGTTGCACATTCTGGCCTGAAAAAGCTGTTGCAGCTCAGAGGTAACATGTAGTTGTAACATAAATGTTTCCTCATTTTTAGTTGATGAAGTTGTCATAATGTCCTACTGCACAGGGGTTTTTATTTGTAGAGTCCTAAATTCTGTAATCATCTGAAACCAGAGATCCTTGTGTGAACAGTAGTGTCTTAACTTTCCCTTCATGCAGATTCCTACAGAGAACTTGTTTTTTTATCTTGGTTAAATGATCAGTGTAGTAGCAGGGAGAAAATAGACTACCTTATTTGATTATTTGTTGCTTGACTACATAGCTCTTAACTTTTTTCTTTTTTTTTTAATATCTCTGGTGTAGTGCTAGAAAATTGAATTTTTTTGTTGCATTTTTTGCTTCTGCATAGCATGTTCTCCTTTGCTTTATTATTTGTCTAGTTTAGGTAATGTGAAAAAATTTCATTATTACTGATTAATGGAAGAGGTCTTGACAAAACATGTATTAAATAAAGCATAAAATAGAATTCAAAGGAAATTTGGAGGGGGAAAGAGGATATAAGCAAAAAGTCACAACTGTCCCCAGAAGCTGCCTCTGGGGAATGGAAATGCCTATGAAGAGGTAGTGCTGGGAAGATAAATGAGCCCTGTGAGACTCTGCAGACCTAAGTGGACAACAGTTTGTAAATGTTGATGCTTCTTTGTCTTGACTGTAATGATACGAGATTGTAGACAAGAGTGTTTGGGCAAGATCCTGGCTCATAGCACATTAGAATGGTGCGAGGCGTAGGTGTATACTCTTTCTGTTTTCAGGAAAGAACTGTGTTAAAATGACTTCTGAAAGTCAGGTAGGAGACTTGTTAAACTCTGTAGGAACTCTGGATAGTGAGAGACAGTGGCATGCCTGACAATTAACAGAGACCTGAAAGCTATGTGTTTTTTAAGATTACATGGTCCCAACAGAATGATTAACGGTGGAATTCTAGGGTATTTGAGAGAATTTTGTCAAGGAGAAGTTAAGTCTTGAGTTTTAGCCTCTCATCTTTTATATAATCTTTTCTGTACCTGCAAGGAGCTTTTAGAAAATAGTTGTTTACGTAGTGACAAGTGGACAGAAGCAACTTGTACTTCAGCTATAATGTGTCTACATGGAGGGAGCTAGTCTTATATGACTGTCTGTTGGAACTTCACTTAAAGAAAAGCAATAAAAAGCTGTCATCAGACTATTCAGGTGCAGACCTGAAGGTTAGAGATTTTTGTTGAAGTAACTTTTTCATCTTAAAATTTTTAGCTTAAAATCCTCAGTGTATTCTTGAGGGCTGGTGTTTTATCTCACTTAACTTTTTAGCAACGTGCTTGAGGTTTTTCTTTCTGGTTTCAGGTCAAAGCACTGATACAGCTCTGCCAAATCCTGTCAGCAGCACTCATTGGAATGTGAATATTAGATTGAGAGGGAAAAGAGAGATGTTATTTCTTCAAGTCTCGATATACATTACAATAGCTTTTGATGTAGTCACATGAAAGGTCTTGTTGAGAGCTGTGTGTCATGCCATAGCATCTATTTCAGTCTCATTTCAACTTTACTTTTCAAAGGCGTAGCTGGAAGGTCTGATATTATTAATGGGCAGACCAGCAACCAGTATAGTTTTTTACAAGACCATTAATATCCTAAATGGATGCGTAAGCTGGTACACTTGAATAATGTAAAGAGTTTATACATGGCAAGAGTGTCCTTCAATGGCAGAATAGCTGAATATCCTTCAGATGTTTTGGCTTACAACATCTTCATGAAACGCATAACACAATATAACTTTTGTCCTGTATAGTGGTGTGGATTTTCTTGTGTGTCCCTCCCCCCCCCAATCCCCCCCTGTTTTACAATTTTGCAGCTGGAATGAAAACCATCTCTACTCATCAGGGTAATACATATGAAGTCTATGATAATACGGTGTTTTCGTATGTCTCAGCAGTTTCAAATTTATGCTCTTTCAGAGCCATCCTGAGGGCCTCAAAGTTCCACGATAGTATCAGAGTAAACTGTGATGGTATTAGTAGATCATGAATGTTTCTTCAGTGGTTTACAGCCCAGTGAATAAGGAAACATAGCTTTTCCTGCAGTGCAAGTTAGGTACGTAGGATCCTGTGTACCAAGGACCTCCTCATCTTCTGACTCTGTCTTGACACACAGCTATACTTACTCTGAGTATGGAAATAAATAACAATGTCTATCGTGGTGCTAAACCAGACGGCCCATAATGTGGGGAAGTAACACCACTGAACTGTTCTAACTCTTTTGTTTTAAAGAATGTAATGCTGTGATTACCTGTGAGAAAAAATAGATTCATTATTTAGGTCTCATGCACTGAGATCTGCGTGGCATCGCTAATTTTATTTACATCTTTCAGTATATTAATGGAGCTTTTCTTCAGTAATCTTTTCCATTGTCTCTGGTTATATGTTACAGTTGATTGCCTCTGTGGGTCTTCATTCAGTGTCAAAGATAAACTCCGGTGAAATGTTTCTATTTAGGTTTAAATGTACGTTAGCTGAGCAGATCCTATCAGTTTAGCTCTGTCAGCTACTGCTGTGAAGTAGTGTATTGATTAGAAAGTATTGGTATTGAATTACAGGCTTAACGTGGACTAAATGCCGTTGTGATCCTTCTTAAAGAGTGCTTGACCTCTGTGCTTGCTCCTGATGTGTGTACAAAAGCTGTAATGCTGGACAACTTCTGGGCTGAACAGGGAACCTGTCCTCAACTGGAGCCTGCAAGAAGGCTGGTTGCTAAAGAACTAATTAGCACTTGGCAGTTAATACGGTGCCTGTGCAAAGTGAAACGAGGCATCTGGTCTTCAATGGCCATGTCAAGTACTTCAGGATTTTATGTACTTTTATGGAGAAGTACTTTGCCTCAGTTACTCAGGTTATTAATGACAGTGGAAAATGGAGATTAACACTGCAAGCCAGTAAAAGGCTTGAAGGCAGTTAGAGACTTCCTATTCAATTTATTTTAGCCCAAAATTAATCTGGAATATCAGCTTAATTCCACATGCCAAGTAGCCAGCAATGCTTCTTGAGCACTTGTCTCCTGTCTTCATTCCCCCAAATTCCCCACAAAGTAGAATTCTGGTTTAAGACTCCATGTTTTTTGGATATGCTTATAACAACACATCTGTATGTTTAGTGAGAGAGTAGCTGTATAACTGCATGGCAAGTTACCACCAAGCATTGAGATTGCACGTTTTTCTGTGAAAAGAAAACATGGGATACTGGGATTTGCCATAACAGCATTTTTCTCTTTATATCGATCGAATTTAAAGGTTAATTAATGACTGTGATGAGCAGGAAATTAACTGTGACTAAATGTCATCAACTTAATATGCTGATTTATGCAAACATTTCATTGGAGCCACACTCTTGAGAAGCAAATTGCCAAAAAAAAACCAACAAAAAAACCCACCACAAAAAAACCCAAACAACAACCCCACCCATTTATGTAGCTGATTATGATTTTCAGAAAATCAATTTTGAGGCTTTGAAACTGAAGCTCCTGACTTTCCAGTTGTGATGAAGTGTTCCACAGGATTTTCTTAAAGGTTGTGTGTGTCTGTAGCCAGAGAGGTGTACAGGCAATTGCCGTGTTTCTAAAGATGATGGAACAGGGGTAAGATAATTTCAGCACCACGGTAGTACTTCTGTTTCACACAACCTCACTGCAGATGAAACTGCAAATTGTAACGCTGCTTACAGCAGACAAAATGTTTTTCTAATTTAATTGAAAGAGTAGACCTCACCAGATGGATGATTACTGGCATGATGAGGTAGTGGACTTTTTTCCTGATGTTTCTGATTAGTGTGATATTATAGTTGAGAGAAACTTTGGTTAGTTAAAACAACCCATTCTTGCTCATTTCCATTCTGTGTTGGTAACAAGTAGCAAGGCATCAGCTTTCAGTGACGGAGGCTTTACAGAGTTTTGATACTGAGCCTACGTGGATTTTTTTGTTCAGTGATCATACTCAATTAACAGTATCATTTTCATTGCCCTGCTTTGCTTTAATGAAAATGCTCCTCCTCTTTGCCATGTGGCATTTGAAGTTATATACAGAATGATTGATCAATGGTTGCTAAACTTTCTCTTAAGCTTTTCTGAACCTTCAACATTTGAATAAAAAATAATTTGAATATGACTTGTCCAACCATTTTGATTATAAATAAGCAGGAGGTGTGAATTTCAAGTTTGGAAGCATCAGTTTTTGCTAATCATTGATGTATAGGACCTGCCATTGATTTTAGTCTTACCCTACTGCTCCTTCTACTGAAATTCGAGGAGAAATACAGTCCATTAAAATGCTGTCACAGTATGTACATGATTAGTTTAGTTGCTTGATTTCATGTACAGGTAGAAAATGTTAAAATGCTGTCGCAGTATGTACATGATTAGGTAAGTAGTTGCTTGATTTCATGTACAGGTAGAAAATTTGCAGGGAGTTCTAAGGATATAAAAGCCCAAATAGATGACCTTCATGTGAGTTACTTCACTTCATCTCCACAGAAGTTGACGGTTACTTTTTGAGTCAAAGTTGATGTTTCTTTAAGTCGACACATCCTGAGCTTTCTGGTCAGAGGTAGCTCTGCCCTGGAAGTTTGAATATATGATGGCTGTTGCAGAGTCTCATGGGAGATAGATACTATTTGTAAGGAAATACGTGAATGCTGGGGCAGGTGTTTGTATATTAAGATTTTCAGTTGAAAATATGGCTGTTACAAAAATAAGATCTGTTTTTTCTTCAAGAATTATGTTGGATAGTACACCTAAAAATAAGAATATTATTTTATTTCAGTAAAAATGTACAGTGTATATATGTTTGTGCTTTGGGATTTGCTTCTATCCATCTAATGATAGCTTAAGTGATACTTATATGGGACCTTTTCTGATCCTCTAGCTGAAACTGAATGTACATACTGTGGAAAAAGAGGGGAAAAAAAAAGTCTTAATGTTCTATATCTAATGCACATACTGTGGAAAAAGAGGGAAAAAAAAAAAGTCTTAATGTTCTATATCTAATGTAACTGCATGAACACAATCATAACTAATCAAAATGTGTCATTTTGTATACTATTTTGTTTTGCATAAATAACCTAACTCAGTAAAAGCACTGGTGGTGGAGATAACCATCCTGAAAACACTTAAGGGTATGCTGTGCTGTGCCCTACAGCAATGACTGCAGGAAGTAGCTGTTGAAAAGGTAATTTGGGAGTGCGTAGTGGCATCGCCCCAGCAGCTAGCGGTGCACCAGAGTTCTGGGTAAGCTGGGCCAGTTCATGGTGCTTTGTGGCTCTGCTGCTGTCGATATTTGAGTGGGCTACCTAAAAATTAGCTTGTGTGTTAGCTTTTCCATTTCTTTCGTATATCATATGGAATTAAAAAAAAAAAAAATCCTTGTTTTCTCCACACATTTTCATGTTAATTCTCTGCACGCTAGTTCAGCTTCCTGCTTACTTTCCTGAAAGACAATGTTGAAAGTTTGGCCCCAGAGAAATCAAGAGCAAAAGCCTCTGACTGTAACCAGAGTTTCACTCTTTAAATCTGCAGTGGCAAAGCAGGGGCTACTTTTTGAGACTGAATTAAACAAAGTAGACTTCGTTTCAGGCTACTACGTGTGTGTGTCTTTAAATTCCAGAGAAAATTGTTTTGTAGAGTTTGGTTAAATAATGTAGCAGATGCTGTTTTATTTCTGTAGTGTGGTATATGTCATACATTTCATTTAATGAACAACAAAAAAAGATGTACAGGTTTCTTCTTTGTGCTTCCTGGTAATTTGTTTGACAGCTGTACATGGATGCTGAACATAGAGTAGATCCACTGTCAGCATGTCTTCCATCCTCTCTGACAGACATAAACATGTATGACACATGGCCATACCTCGATCATTCCCATTTATTTCAATACTACGTTTGTTTTAATTGGTTTGGATCCTCTTGAAATTACCAGCATTTCTGTGTTAACTCTATGTTGGAATTTTTTTTCCCCTTGATCACAACAGTGTCCAGAGAGTAAGTCAAATTAACCTATTAGTGTTCTGTGCAGCAATAACTTCTATAATTTTTTTCAGTCAAACTTTTTTGATTAGCTGCAGCAGAGGTTTATATCAGGTCAAGAAGCACTGTCTATGCCAGCTATTCTTTGTTCAAGGCTGTAGCAGCAGAGCTAGAGCTTTGTGTTTCAACAAGGCCTCTTGAGAAGGATGAGCTGAGAGGAAGCTGAAAGTGAAACCAAGGAAACTAAATTCTATTAAAAAAAAAAACAACTTGAAGTGGTTATTTTTATTTGTTTTTTTTTTTTTCTCTTGCAGAACAGTGCTGCTTGATCCTAAATATACTATTATGTGGATGTTACAAACGTTTTCACTGGACATTACAAACCTTTTCACTGGCAAAGGAACTAAAGTTCCAGTGAAAGTCAGATACATGGTTTTTTAAAACTGTCCTGTAATCTTTTTAAATGTACCATTCACCATGCTATTTTCCTCTCCAAATTCAAACCACAGTATTTTATATGCCTTTGAGAACCTTCTCTCGTCGCTTTTTAAAGCTGAAATGAAAGTTTCTTTGCTTGTTCTTCTAGCCAGCATTACGAGTTTGACTGTGGGGTTTTTTTTCCATGTTTTTCCTCGTGCCTTCTGTGTTCTTTTAAAGTGCCAAATGCTAAATTGTAAACTGGTGATACCTGAAAAGTCAGTGTAGATGTTTCTGAAATGGTTGGTTTAAAATCATCACTCAGAGCAACATGTGACACAGTGAAAGTAACCTCATCAGTCTTGCAGGCTAGCGCAAAATAATTACGTACAGGGTTACAAATGGGAACCAGTTCTCTCCTAGAATAGATTGAGTGCTCTATCCTTGTGCCATGCTTTGGTCCCCCTGTGATGTCAAAGTGTCAACAGTCATTAAGAGAAAAACAGTATTTGCTTATTCGTTGAGAGACAGGTGTCAAATCTGTACTTGACAGTATTTTTCTCTCCTCTAGCAGGAGGACAATTATTTCTTGTCTTCTTTCTTATTACTTTAGCTAAAGAAAAGTAGCTTTATTTTTAGTGTCATTATGCCGAATTTTCTGTTTGCTGTACTATAAATAATTAGTAACTATTTTAGTAAACAGTAGATATTGCTAATGTAGCTTACTAAGCAGTAAGCAAGGAAACTTTTTTCCTACTTATGCTTAGATTCTACGAAAACCCTGTTTCGAGAGAAAATGATGATGCATCTGATATTTTTGTAAAAGCTTATTTTTCTAATATATGCACTTGGATGATTCCTGGGCCCTGTGAGAGAGGAGCCCACAAAAACGACTGCCCAGATGGTGAATGCCTGGACTGTAAATCCAGCAGAATAACACTGAATAGCTATTTCTGTGGCAGAGGTCCACTTTAATGAGCCTTTTTGTAAATACGGTTCAGCTCTCTTTTTCTTTCTCAAAATAGTCATCATTGAACTGTCTCGATTTCTAGCCCAATTTTAGGAAACTACATTTTCAGTTTTATGAACAAGAAAAGGGACTACTTATCCTCATTGCAAAGAAAACATACAGTTATCTGTAAATCTTCCTGTGATGTTTAAAGTGATGATAAATTCATAATGATCTTAGCTTTTTCATATATGTGCCAATAGGTGTAGCAGGTGTGATTCTCTTATGGCCACATGAACTTGCTGAAAATATGCAAACCAATGAGGATGTTGTGTTTATCGCCTATTTTATTAAGTTTGGGTTTGGTTTTTCTTCCTTTTTTTCCATGTGATTACTGAAAATCAGGCTGACCATTCATTTCCAATATTTCATCTTTAACATGTCCTGGAGCACAAACATTTCTTCTTGAAAGCGTTAATGGAATATAATCTGTTAAATGTAATTTTTCATCTTGCTGATCCAACTGGGAAGTCTGTAGGTTTGTTATATGTATTCAGTCTTCATTTCTCTGAAGTGCTACTGCATGTTGTTGATTGCTGCTGAAAATCAGTTGTGTGGTTTTCGTAGGGAGTAGTTCACGCACACTCATTTGTTTAACAACCTTGTCTTTTCGATATTTCAGTTTTCCAGTTCGACACCGAATTCTATATCAGTGGACTTGCGCCTCTCTGTGACCAGCTTGTGGTGCTTTCATATGTAAAGGAAATTTCTGAAAAAATGGTAATTGTTTTTATGTTACAATTTCTTCACAGCACTAAACTGCCCTGTGAGCTGGGGCTTAAACTAGTCACGCAGATCTGATTATCTGTGAAAGAATTTGCAGCCCGCTGGTACTGAACAGTGCTTGAAACTTCTCTGACCTATAAAATAAGGTCAGAGGAGGTGATGTTGAAGACTGATGTACTTCCCTTTCAGAAGTCCTGTCTGGATTCCTTTGTTTCTTGCAGGAAGCAGAGAAGGGTTCTAAGTAGGCTTTCTCCTTTTCCATTCCTTCCCCCCCCCACACTTTTTCTCTCTCTTTCTGCTATTTGTGCATCAGAAAAAGCACAGGATCTTTTCTAGCCCTAAGAGAGGCTTGCTGACACTGCATCTGAGACGAAATGAGAGTAGTGGAGTTGATCAGCTCAAGCAATAGGAGTCACTGTGGCGGGGGTGGGATGCAGGACTGCAAGCAAGTGGCATCATTGTCTCCCTCGTTTCTAAGACCTTTAGTTGTGAACACCCAGATACAAGTGTAGATGGGTAGAAATTAGAATTCATGTCAGCTGTTTTCACTGCGCGCGGGCGAGCGCCGTGTCTGTCTCCGACATTTATTTCATATTGCCAAATAAAAGGCGAGGCAGTGGAGGAAATCCTTGAAGTTGTGGTGTGAGAATGGCAGATGCTCTTGATCATCTCTTTGATAGTATGTCTGCATTAGACAACCATCACCATAGTAACCTTAAGCAACTGGGTGCACAAGTTGCTAGGCAATGAAATGCTGTAGGTTCAAACAGACGCTCGAGCCTGCCGAAATCAATAGGGTTAGCTTCTAGCTCTGCTGCAGGATGTCAAGATTATTATTTCTTTATTTATATTGAGGAGAAAAATAATGTCACAGCAGCGTTTCCCAAGAGAGAGCTGGTACAGTAGTCCTCGAGTGCGGGAGAGTCAGTGGAATAAAAGGAGGCAAATGAATGGGATAAGGAAGGGGGAGGAAAAGGTAGGTTGAAATGCTAGGGAGCAAGGAAATTGGGAAGCTGCTGTTCATGAAGAAGTACCATGGGAAAGGAGCTAGTATAAAGGAGGTAGTGACTGATAAAAGGTTAAAGTCACTAACTGCTTCGGGAAAGAAAGATGGAAAGAGAATTTCAGGTGATATAATTGTAATAGAACATAGGAAATAGGTGGTGGTTTTTTTTCCGTGCATTTGCTTTTAGTTAGCCTTTTAAACAAACTCCAAATGCTGGACTTGAAATTTCTCAGTCGTTTGAGTAACTCTAGCAAGGAAGCAAAAGTACTCTCCTCCCTGACACTGTCTGCGCCCTGGTGTGGTGGGAACCCCTCTGTTAGTGTCTTAGCTCCACGGAGCCTGAGCTGCCTGAGCTTGCAGCAGAAGTGCAGTTTGCTACAAATGCTGTTGGGTTGTGAGGAACACTCTTCTTCATCTGCTTGATTCCACAACTTTCAAACGGCAGCTTCCTACTTTTTACAGATTGGATCAGAATGGAACTCATGGCTTGTTTGAATTTTTTTTTTTTTTCCCTACTTGCACTATGACAGTTAAATTGAGAAAAGACCTGAGTGTTGTTGCTGCCGAATGGGTAGGCTAGAGCTGTGTAAATCCACTTAGTATGTCTTCTTGCTCTTTCATTCTGTGTTTTGTTGCAGTTCACAGCCAAAGTAGAAAATAAGGGATTATCTTGGACTTTGACTTAATTAAAAATACAGCTAGCTGAAGACAGTGATTTGCCTTGGATAGAACATGAGAATCCATGATCTCATCTTACCATAACCACCTACGTTGCACTTGAAAGTTCACGTTATTCTAAGATCACCAGTACAGCAAGGGTTTTAGATTATTCTCGGATTAATTTTTTCCTTCCTGCTACTGGACGCTTTAAAGTGCAAACTTAAACAGCAGCTAAAAAAAAAACAAGTTCATCCTGGTACCAGAATATCTTTGATTCATAGAGCTCTGTCCTTTTGGGCCGGAGCCCAGCTGAAAAAGTCAATTAGATTTTTCTGTTGCTTGTTGAATACAGTGGTTAACAAACATCTGTGATAGCCCTGAAAACTTCTGTGACCAAGAGTGGAAAAATAGTGAGCAAACCCAGGGGAAGGGTTAGACCTGTGTCTTGTCTAAACCTCTTTCTCTGTGCTGATCTCTTCAAGAGAAGCAAGCGAAGAGTAGGAATAACTTTGCTCTGTGTTTCCAGTGTGATTACAGCTACTCTGCAGCACACAACTTTGCAACTTGTGTAGTTCGCCACTGAGTACCCAGTGCAGAGTTACTGGACCTTTGGGAATGTTTGCAATTTCAATTTCAGCCGTGTTTCTAGATGATCATCGGTTGGCATTGCTAAGGTAGGATGCAACTAAGATGTTTGCATTTTTCTAGGAAATGGAGTGTTGTGCAAGGCCCAGACTGGATATTGTACAACCCCTACCCGAGTCCTGTGAAGAGATCTCTTCTGATGCACTAACAGTACGAGGATTTCAGGAAAATGAATGTAGAGATTACCATTTAGGTAGGTGTTCTTCATGTCATTTTGGTTTATTTTCAGAACTTGGTTAAAAAAGTCTTGATCCGGGATGATTCAGCCTCTTTTGTCATTTTCACATTGTCTCCTTGAATAACTGCCTGTAAGTGTTTAGAAGATTAAAGTGTAAAGTGAAAATCCACAAGAACCAGTCACATGAAAGACAACAAATATGCATATTTAAACATCATGGTTTGTAGTGCCATCTGTTAAGTCAGACGTACTGGGGAAGGCAGAAATACGGATCTCATGCAGTGTCCAGTATCGTGGAAGGCAGTATCTTTGGTGGAGATATATTCAACGCGTGATCTGTAGGAGCTCTTGCATCTCTTTGGACACAAAGGGCTTCAGGAATAGTGAAATGAGTGATACAGTGTCTGGAAAAGCTGCTTTAGAGGCAAAGATGGAATAAATGTCATTGCAGCAGTAAGATCCACCTGGATCAACTTGAAAGGGGCGCACTGATATTTAGCTTCCCTGTAATGATAAAGCTGTCGGAGTGTAACAGACCCCAGAATGGTAAAATGTAATTAATAGAAACTGGAGTTTGGCAAGTTCAGCCTAGAGATAGGTTTAATTATGTAACAGACAGGGAGATTAAGCCCCAGCACAATATATACCAGTCTTTTAAATAAGATGGGGTGCTTTTCTGATATAGGTGGTATAGTTCAGACAGATGCATGGCAAAGCTGATGCAGGATTCCTTGGTGAAGATTATATAGCCTGTGTTATACAGAAACATTCCTTCTGGCTTTTAAAATCCATGAATCTGATTTTTAAGCATCTTCTCTGGCAGCATGCTTCAAATCACAGGCTTGGCAGGCCGCTGTGTACGTCAGTGCCCTTAAGCCACTAGAAATATAGTATATCTCCTCCTGATCTCCAAAACGTCTCTGCTGCTATCAGTAGGATTGGGATTTCTTCCTATCTGTCCCTAAGCTGGATATTGATGTCCACAGTTGTACTTTTATGCTTAATGAATATTCTAGTTAATCTGACAAGTCTAAATTTTTTGGGTGGCTTTAAAACAAGCTTTAATTTGTGAATTGCTCATCAGTTCAGGAGTGTATTTGTGTGTGTGTATAGATACAGATAAAGCATAGGGGATGGTTTTCTTTCCTGTACCTACAAAACATTGATGGTGTGTCTTCATGGGTTCTGTGGAAATAATAACTGTTCTGAACAATCATCTTCTGTGTTTGATTTTACCTTTAAGTATGTTTTTACTTTGAGCTCACTCAAAAATAAAGGCTTATGGTATAAGCAAATGCATTATACATGTAACCTTAACTTATAGCATTGCAAATGCATTGCTGTAATGATGTGCTGTGTCCCCAGGGGTTATGGCATCTATCATTTATGCTTTTGATGGCCTTGACCTTGATGGGGAGGGTAAGTTTATTGCAGGCGATGTAGTGTAATAGTCCTCTAAAAGTATAATAATGTGTTCTAAACCATCATAAAGTTTACACATAGTGGATGAATCAGAATTTGCAATAAGCTGTAGTGATTTTTTTTGAAAGCTATTTTGCCATTTAAACCAGTTTTAATTTATTGGAGAATACAGCTTCCCAAACAAGCATGTTCTGCAGGAGTAGCCTTGCTGTCTTCCTTGCATCTCCTCTTTTTAAATTCCCCTCAAGGGCGTACTAAAAAGCAGGGCTTTACTTAAGGAAAATATAATAACAATAAAACTGTCTATGCATTTGCAGAGTATTCGGAAGGTGAATCGCTTTTTTATATCATCAGCCCAAGAGATGTGGTTGTGGCTAAAGAGCGGGACCAAGATGACCACATTGACTGGCTTCTTGAAAAGAAGAAATACGAAGTAATTTTTGCAACATTCTTTCCTTCAGGCTTTCCTGGTTTGGAAATTGGGGTGGGATGAGGAACTCTGCTAGGTTGTTTGGATTGGATAGTTTCTGTTCCTACAGTCATTGACTAAACGCTTGTAAAGTGTAGGAGTTGATGATACATCCTCTCAATGTTTCTGGGCAGTTAGTCTTCCTACTGAGGCAACTCATCTGAGTTGCACCCAAGTGAGATAACTGAATGAGATTGGCTGTGTGAATACTGCTCTCAACATCAGATATGAAATGTATTAGCTGTCACTGAAAATTATTAAAGCTGGATTTTGGCTTTAAAGCAGCAAAACAGTTAACTAATGAGCTACATGGATATTTTTCTAGATCTGTCCCAACTAAAGAGGGAAGAGAAATGGACTTGGTGGGCCATACTAGATTTTCCCCATTCTGTATCACTTCCACTACAGAACTAAAAGGTTCTGTTAGTGTACAGTGCGTACTCCGTGTTACTTACCTTCGATGTCGAAGCTTTTAAAAGTAAAATCATGTGTGCTTGAACTGTAGGTATTGGTGCTGAAAGTAGTGTTACTCACAAAAAAGCAGAGCCAATATTAAAAAACAAGGGTATGCACCTCCGTTGGAAAAAAGCAGCTCAGTATTTGGTTGCGTAAATAGTGGTGTGCTTGAACATATATATGTAAACACCTAAAATAATAATAATAGATTCTTGCAGACAATATCAACATGTGCCCAGTGTTCTGGATTCTGGTATCCTACAGTTAATGACTTGGAACACTTGTTATGATGCATAAAGTACCTTGTAAATTCTTATTTATGTGTTGTTTGTTGGATGCCCATGATAAGAAAAAAAAAAGTGGTCAAGCCATTCAGCACGCATTCCTTTTGTTAATGCAGTCATAATATTCCTCATGCAGATTTGTTTAAATCCTAGTGGACGCTTTTGTGACTGAATAGCAAACTCATACGATGAGTGCAGTTTTGCAGTTTATGTAAATCACAGCATTTGGTCCCTGAAGACTCCTGTAATTTGCAAGTGACAGCTGTGCGGGTGCCTTTGTGAAAGCTGTTTAGGATAGCAGATAGCTTGTGTGTTATGATGTATGTTAAAGGTTTGGGTTTGTTTGTAGAAGTGCCAGCTTTGTTTCTGTACCTTTGAAAGACGTAGGACAGCAAATGACGCTGAAATTTAAGTCACTCTGGCTGCAGAAGACTTTTGGGCTGGGGAAGTGAAAGGTAGCCTTCCCCACCCCCTTTCCTGATGATTTTTTTTCACAGGTTTTGGTGAAGGGTTCTCATTTGAAAATGATTCAATGCAATTGCATTGTCTGTTTTGTTGTAATCTTGTGATTTGATCCTAATATAGTAATGTGGAGTGAACCCAGATGGAAACAAAAGTAGTTTTCTCTTTGGTTGACTGCTTTTGTGTGAGTATGAATTCAAAGCTGTTCATCCAACCATGGCATTAAAAATTCTAGTGCTTCAAACACCTTGCTCTGAAAAATAGTTGATTTATGCAGTTCTAGAGCTTTCTGTATTGAAAGTTTGTGTATTTGGCTAGTATCTCTGTTTTCTGCTTTTTGAATATAGGAAGCTTTGATGGCTGCTGAGATCAGTCAGAAAACTATAAAAAAGCACAAGATTCTGGTAAGTCTCAAAACTTCTATTCAAAACAAAATATCTGGCATCTTTCTGAATGCTGTGAGAGGCTACAAATACATTCCCTGTTCTGAATTGCACCAACAATAGCTGTTAGGCATACTTCAGCTAGCCTTCGATTTCTGGGATTCAGCTGCAGAACAGCAATGTTAGTGTGTGAAACACGAAACGATCTGGGTTTTTTGAAGGTGCTATTGACATTAAAAAGAAGAGAATTCCACTGCTCCGATTGCTGATGGGGTTTTTGTTTGCTTTTACTTTGGTATTAAATTTGCTGTTGTTTCAACTAACACGCAGTATTACAATATTAGGGATTGGGTGGGGGGGTGACACATTTTTTAACTTTTACCTTGTACATGTGACAGGGTTTTGGCAGGAGTTTAAAAGGTGCAATTGGAAGACCTTTTAAATGCTATTGAAATTCAGTTGCAGTTGCACATCTAGCGCTCTCATGTTGCTTTGCAGTTCTCATTATTTTACATAGTTAAGCTCCTTCTCTTATGTGTAGCTATTTCCTGTGTTCATAGTCCCTTCGAAGAGCAACAAAGGGTATGGATGTTTAGAACACAAGGAAAGGGATAATGTAACGGCTACAAAAGCATCGCTGATTTTAGCACTTGTTTGTTCGATTGTTTACATTGACCAAATTGGTATTTCATGAATATTGTTACTTCTTTAAATGGAAGTTTGCATTTAAGTACAAAGCGTTAGAAGATGTTAGCAGCAATCTGGCTACAAATTCTATAATATGCACGCTGTGCATCAGTATGTCTTAAAAATTTGTTTCTTCTTGTGTAGTCCAGAAGTTGAATCAAGACCTAATGGCATGCCATCACCTATCACAGAGTTTGTCTGATTTAGCTGCTCTGTGACCCTTGCGAAAGATATAAAGAATTCTTCAAGGAGATTCTGGCAATATATTAGGAGGAAGAAAAAAAAAGCTTTTCTCTTGGTTTGCAGAAATTTGCTCCACTTAGATGAAATTCAGAGCTGGGTGTATACAAGCAAAGTTGTTTAGTGTTTGGTCTCTAATGCAAAAACCATGCAATGTGTTAAGGGAAAAAACGTTGACATCAAGCCCTGAGTGAAGGATTAGTGGTACAGGGATTTCAAACAATTCCTGTTCTTGCTGCCCAGCAGTGATCATACCAGTGACACCACGCGCACACCCCCTGACAAATCTGGAGACCTTGGGAAGTTTTTAGGTTGTGGTCATGATCACTGTCTCTTTGCATCTCTTGAGCAGAATGCAGGAGTCCTAAACAACCACAGGTCTACAGCACCTTTCTTTATTCTGTCTTCTCTGCTCACTGAGAAGCTGGCCCACAGCAGAAAGAAGCTACCAGAAATCTTCATTTTTGACAAGGGTCAAGCTGAAAATATGAAGGAGGTTCCTCTGGTAGAATGAAATTCTAAAATCTGATGTATGTGCATGATTTTTTTTTTTTAAACTTTGTAGTAGATTGACCAGTTGAAGTTGTTGGATACCTCTGTTAATATTCTGCTCTGCTCAGTACTGTCCTTTGTATTGATCAAAAAATTTGTTGTGCCTCAGAAGACCCAAATGTTTATATTGTTTAGGTAACAAGGACTTCTTTTTCATTGCACAAATCTGTTTTTTTAAAAAAAGAAATACACCTGACCTGTGCCATAACGTCTTGAGAACAGCAATATAGTGTGTAATAATCTTAATAATCTTGCTAAATTTTCAGCAATCCTTTGACTTAATGGAGCAGCAGTAGGATTTCTATTCTCAACCAATGTTTCTCTCCCTTGCAAACTTTGTGTTGACAAAGTGCCTCATACAATGGCTAGTGGTTTTCTTTTTGTGATAACTAATGCAAGCACTGAATGCTCAGCTGTGTGTTTTGAACAATCCTTAATATGTAGAGGTGGTACAGTCTTCTCAGCGTCAATGAGGTTATGAGAATTATTTAAAAGAGCGTCTTGATTTGAAGCTATGAGTGTTCTAGGCAGGTGTTTTGTCCTTCATCTAAAGGAGAACTCAGGGTATCCACTTAGGGCCTGGTGCTTCACTTAGCAGCAGTGCATACAGCTGGAATGATAGTTATTGTGGCAGTCAAGTGGTTGACTTCCAAACTTTTGTGACTAATTCTTTATTTTTATTCCCTTTAGGACATTGGTTTAGCCTATATAAATCACCTAGTGGAGAAAGGAGAGTATGACCTGGCTGCTCGGTAACTGTTAAAGATGTTTTTTGCTGGCTAAAGTGTGTCTGTGTATGGGGAAAAAGCAGAAGGAAATTATTGATTCTGAAGTATTTTGTAATGTTGATTTTCTAGGTGTTCTGAAGTTTCAAAACATACAGATGTATTACTGTGCCCTATATTTTCTTGCCTATGGTGACCCAAAACTTACTGTAAACTTTCTGAAGTTTAACTAGAATTGAGACGTATATTTTTGAAAGTCAGCCTTGATTTTTTTTGATTTTTTCGGTGTCACACTACATTTTCAAAACAGGTTTTCTTTGGAATTTGGTAGTCTAAGTTTATTAGTGTGTCATTACAAGTAAGACCATCAGAAAAATAATTTGTGGTAATGTGGGTGTAAACAAAAGTGTCCAATATGGATATCTAAAGCAAGGATCAGAAATTACCCAAGATTTGTGTTTTCAGGTATGTGTAAATGTAAGCACGCCTTTTTAAATGCTCCATTTTTCTGAGCTGAGATGCAAAAACTTCACTCATAAAGCTTATATGGCCCTAATCAATCAGGGCGAACGCATAGTAAGCATTAAGTCCTCTTGGCTGGAAGAACATTGTAAGATCTGAAGGAAGTACCTGGCATACTGTGCTTGAAGCAGTGGTTGACAAACTAAGTCACCTTTGCAAGTGTTGTGATAGGGAGAAGAAATAAGGCAGGCATCCTTGCAGTGATGCTGTCACATTTGTTTTATTCTATGTGCCTACTTTTGTTCTCTTCCGCTTTCCTCTTCCTTCCAGAAAGTGCCAGAAAATTCTTGGCAAAAACACAGAACTCTGGGAATTTGAAGTTTACAAGTTTAAAGAAATAGGTCAGCTTAAGGTAAGTTCATTCCTGTCTCTGCACTCAAGTAATTGACATGCTGTATTTCCTGCATGTTTGGACCGAGTATCCAAAGCATCACATTTAAAGGCCCTAGCGTGGTAGCAGGATGCAACGCTGCCCTTGAAATTCCTGCCCCAGATCTCGAGTTGCACAGTTGTCTTTCAGATGGATGTGTATATGTTAACAAGCCTCAGAACAGGGTTGCAGGCGTAGCGCATCCAGGTGCTCAGCTGCCTGTTTCTAACTTGCTGACAGCCCCCAAGTAAAAGACCCACCCCTAAGGCCTTTACTTGCAAAGTAAAAAATTCTTTCCCATTTACTTTTCACTCCTTTCTAGTATGTCCTGAAAAATCCTACCCTAGTTCTTAAGGAAGTAGCCTCTGTGGGTGCCACCCTTTCCTGAAAAATCCAAGTCCCTTGCAACAGAGCCACAGCTTTAAGTGTCAAAGAAGAGTTAAATTGCAGAGCAACAGGGAAAAGCTATGCTGTGTGCTAGAAATGGTGGCAAGAAAGAGGAGCGGTCTGCACTGTCTTTTGTTTTCCCTGGTTGCAAGCCAGCTGCCGTAATGGTACATGTTTAATGTGAGATTCTCAGTTAATAAATTGCCCAGGACGTGAGACTACAGCGCTGTCACTGCCAAACCAGTAGAAAACATTATGCACACTCCCTTTGGTAACACATGTACATTTATTTCTGAATTTTATGTCTTCCTATTCAAAGTCAATGAGCCAAAAAGGACATATTATTAAGATATCACAGCATGCAGTCCCTTGCTGGTTTTAAGCTGTTTAATTCTGTTCAAAGAGCGAAAGTGTTTCAGCTTTATGGTTTTCAGAAACGTCTGGCTTTTGGTTTAGAGCCATGCCAGTGCAAGGACAGCCTTGCCTTTTGTATGTGTTCTTAGTGGCTTGGTGCACTCTTTGCCACCTTGGAAGGTGAAATCTCATGTTTCTGTCTCTTTATTTCAATCCAGTAAAGGACCTGAGTGCAGGTACAGGTGGAATTTTGATATGGTGCTTCCTAGTCCTTTTGGCTTTATTTTGTTTTTTAGATGCTAGTGTCTGGAATGGATGTTTTTCTTGTCTCCACTTATGTCATCCAGCAGACTGTAAAATATAAAAATATTTGCAGGTTTGCTGCAAAAACATCTCTGCTAAATTACTGCCTTTCTAAACAGTCGGTTGTTTTCAGCCCCTTGAAAGCAGACTTAGAAAAACATAAGATGCAGTCCGTTACATTATTCAACTTCAAGCTGCAGTTCTAGAAGCTGCCCTTCTTATTTTACTGTTGCAATTGTATAAAACTTTTCCGAAGTTCCTAAAGAAACCGGAATATCGTAAAGGATGAACTAAACTAAGGCAGACCTAAATGAAGTGGTTCTTGAAATGCTTGAGGTCACTCGTATGGAAGTTTTTACCTATTTACCCAACCAGCAAGTATTAAACACAATAGTTTAACTGGGCTACGATGGCTTTGAGCCCTAATGAGGAGACTGTATTTGAGATTTGGAGACAAAATGTATTTCGAAAGGGAATTTTCTTAAAGAGTTTGCACTGCTTATAAGCGATTGCCTGAAATCTGACGTTTCCAATCGAATGTGGTTTGCCAGTAACTGAGGCAGGAGTGAAACGAAAGATTTAAACTTCCCTTCCTGCAGAGGGACTAATTAGTGGTACCCCAATGTCAAAGCTTGTGGGATGTGCGTGTTTTGTTTGCTTGTGGGTTTAGGGGGTTTTTTGAGAGTTCTGTACTGAAAGGTCCTGTTTGGCTACCAGAGGCTGCATTTTGGTATCTTCATGTCTCTCCTGGCTTTGGCAGATGTCCTCTAGCAAATCTTGTTATGGCAGTTTGAATGTTTTAGAGGTTTGCAACGATCTGCTCCTCTCCTTCTCCAGCAGCGGTGGCTTGATGGAGTTACGGTCTTGTGCTCGAGTCACATCGGTGTAAAATCCAACGTCTCAGTTGAGACAGCTGAGGAAGGTGGATTTGGAGGAAGATGCCAAACTCTGCGAGTGCTGGCCGTTGTGGCGTGAGGGATATGCCCCATTCTGTTGACTCTGGTGTGACAGC